TTGGAATACCTTGCATCGTATTGCTCAAAAAGCTGGACTGAAGTCACAAGAAAATCTTTAAAATGTCCTTGGGTGACATACACCATTCATACCTTTACAGAACTGTCATCACAAACATTCAATAGTGTGATAGAGCAGACTCTTCAGCAACAGTTAGCTCCCCTTAGCCAGACGCAGTGACCTTCACCTTCAGTGATGAGCATGTGGCAATCCTGACAGTTTACCGATTGGTCTGGTGATGTTACCCAATCATGAAGATGGTCCTTGTAGACCTCCTTTTCATTACCGCACACAAACCCTTACACTCTTTGAAAAATATGTAAATTATCATACTTACAAGCTGTGTGGAATGTTAAATAAGCAAAAAGGTGTAAGAATTAGACTGATAGGAAATATATACTGTGAAATCATTAAGTTTCTATGGCAACAAAATGTAGATCAGATCTGAGTTCACCGATCACATCTCTCTATGCATACATGTATTTGTACATGAATATAGCAGTCAATTTACCATGAATCAAGCTGATTCCATTGAACAACAATTTTCCAATTACAATAAGGCCTTAAAAGATATCACTGTTTTGAGCAACATGACCATTTCAAATGAAATCAGGAAGGTAAGGAGTGTTTTTCATACAATAAATACTGACTAGCAAGCAGATTTCGAGGGCGTACAATGATACTTTTTACTACAGACTTGAATTTTATCATTTTCAGGAAGAGATTTTTGCATCATCAGCGGATATACACATAACCAAGTTTGTTCCTCAAAGTGGCCTAATGCCCTGGTTAGTACCTAATACCTGAACAGCTGTTGCTTCATCAAGGCTTCAACATTGACCTGGACACATGATAGTCTGGCACACAGGGAGAGCTCTACCTTAGTCAATGCTGAGGTATTTGGGTCCATTAGATTCATAGCGATACCATCACTTTGTGAAACAAGGCAGACTTTTTCATCTCCAATGACCCCAGATAGAAGAATGTTGGTTGTAACACCAACTTGACAGCTCTGACTTTACTTGTCAGCTGTTTGGGGAGACAATTCTTAAGTGATGCAGTTTTTGATATTTACGACTTTGTTTTAACCCGGTAGCAAGGGTAGATTACTAACATACCTAACAACACAATCGGGACAAACTGAGATTCGAACACAGAATAATTTGTTTCTGGCATCCCAAAGGCATGTTACTCTGTAGCTTATTTACAGCACTTGAAAACTGGGACAAGATGGAAGTGGTTGGTTCAATGCAGGTTTGAACAGTATTTCAGTTATATCACCACATGTCAGCCTAATGTGGGAGAAATGTGAAGCAGCTCATCCCCCTCTGTGGACAATACCATGATCTGAGGGAGGGTGGTGGGCCTCGGCTGTATCATACAGCAGAGAAACGTGATACAGCTCATCCCCCTCTGTGGACAATACCATGATCTGAGGGAGGGTGGTGGGCCTTGGCTGTATCATACAGCAGAGAAACGTGATGCAGCTCATCCCCCTCTGTGGATAATACCATGATCTGAGGGAGGGTGGTGGGCCTTGGCTGTATAATACAGCAGAGAAACGTGATACAGCTCATCCCCCTCTGTGGACAATACCATGATCTGAGGGAGGGTGGTTGGCCTTGGCTGTATCATACAGCAGAGAAACGTGATGCAGCTCATTCCCCTCTGTGGATAATACCATGATCTGAGGGAGGGTGGTGGGCCTCGGCTGTATCATACAGCAGAAATGTGATGCAGCTCATCCCCCTCTGTGGACAATACCATGATCTGAGGGAGGGTGGTGGGCCTTGGCTGTATCATACAGCAGAGACACGTGATGCAGCTCATTCCCCTCTGTGGACAATACCATGATCTGAGGGAGGGTGGTGGGCCTCGGCTGTATCATACAGCAGAAATGTGAAGCAGCTCATCCCCCTCTGTGGACAATACCATAATCTGAGGGAGGGTGGTGGGCCTTGGCTGTATCATACAGCAGAGAAACGTGATACAGCTCATCCCCCTCTGTGGACAATACCATGATCTGAGGGAGGGTGGTGGGCCTTGGCTGTATCATACAGCAGAGAAACGTGATGCAGCTCATCCCCCTCTGTGGATAATACCATGATCTGAGGGAGGGTGGTGGGCCTTGGCTGTATAATACAGCAGAGAAACGTGATACAGCTCATCCCCCTCTGTGGACAATACCATGATCTGAGGGAGGGTGGTGGGCCTTGGCTGTATCATACAGCAGAGAAACGTGATGCAGCTCATCCCCCTCTGTGGATAATACCATGATCTGAGGGAGGGTGGTGGGCCTTGGCTGTATAATACAGCAGAGAAACGTGATACAGCTCATCCCCCTCTGTGGACAATACCATGATCTGAGGGAGGGTGGTTGGCCTTGGCTGTATCATACAGCAGAGAAACGTGATGCAGCTCATCCCCCTCTGTGGATAATACCATGATCTGAGGGAGGGTGGTGGGGGCCTCGGCTGTATCATACAGCAGAAATGTGATGCAGCTCATCCCCCTCTGTGGACAATACCATGATCTGAGGGAGGGTGGTGGGCCTTGGCTGTATCATACAGCAGAGAAACGTGATGCAGCTCATCCCCCTCTGTGGACAATACCATGATCTGAGGGAGGGTGGTGGGCCTCGGCTGTATCATACAGCAGAGAAACGTAATGCAGCTCATCCCCCTCTGTGGACAATACCATAATCTGAGGGAGGGTGGTGGGCCTTGGCTGTATCATACAACTGTAGGATTTTAATAAAAATACACACAGCATGTATCAAAATACAATCAAGTCAAGTCCTCAAGCTAAAGTGCTGCGCATATTCAATATCCGTATACCAGTATCTAGATTATATTATGTATGCACCCTCTCATCTAATGCATCTCAAACACAACCTGATATCTTGCATCTCAATAGAAGCTGGTAAAACAATATATCAGCGTAAACCTAGAGATCAATACATGTTATTGTATATTACAGCACATTCTGTCACTGTAGCCTAGTGCTGATGTACTAGAAACAACCTAAGGGGCACTGATATGGCCACTGGTTCTAGGAACCAATTTCATGCCATGATAGTTTTAACCCACACTCCTCAGCAGTGTCACTCTTGATAGTCTGCTATGTAAGGAGCAGCGTGAAATGACTACATGAGACAATCTTAATGCGCATCAGCTTATGGGAATCAACATAGTGCCATGTTGCTTGGTGCCCTGTCTTAGAGTACAGGCACTTCACATTTTATCCTTTAAATTGGTAATCTGGAGTCGATGAACATACTTGGTTAAAACCTATGGTGCTCTGACATACAATGGTAGCCATGCCAACAAACACAAATATTATAAAAAAAACCATCTAACTCAAACATGTCAAATATCAGAGTCGATACACACTTATTTGTACGGATATTAAATAAAGATGGCCAAATGACAAGATATAAGTTATGGAAACAGACAGTGGTCAATCTGGGACAGCTAGCATGGTCTTGAAGGAGAGAAGTAGTCTTGTTCAGGAACAGGAAAGCTATCACCATGTATGTAGTTCTAACGCTGGGCGAGCGAGCGAGTTTCGTTTTACGCCGCTTTTAGCAATATTCCAGCAATATCACGGCGGGGGCACCAGAAATGGACTTCACACATTGTACCCATGTCGGGAATCGAACCCGGGTTTTCGGCGTGACGAGCGAACGCCTTAACCTCTAACGCTGGGACTGTCAGAATATTATATCTTCATCAACAGCCAAGACTTCAGGATAATCTCACATTCTTCTCAGAAAGGTGTGTGTGGGCATTTACTGTATCTCCATATAGCATTTCAGGGGGACATGTAGCACCTAGACAATGAATGCTCTGAACGCATGTTTTTTTATTTTCATATTCATGAGAAATCAATATTCATTTATTATATTTTTGAACCAATCTGGACACTATCATAAACTCCTTACCAACATGGCTTACCAACTCTCCACGTATGTCTCAAAAGAAGACGATGAGTTTGGTTTGACTACTTTGAACAATATGTCAGCAATTTACAACCTGAGAGATTGATTATTGAAAGACCTGACAGCATGATGTGGGAGAAAAGCAGGTCTTATACCGTGACCACTTTGGTCGAACCCACAAGCACAGGCATAATGCTGACAAAGCAGCTTAATTCAGACACACCAAGATTTAAACCTAGGGTCAGCACTGTACAGCAGGCCCAGGGGAGGTAACTCTGCACAGCTACTACTGGCAGCCACTACCAGCAGCTTGGATAACAGCTGTCCCTTGAACAATGAGAACCACGTAGATCTATGACACAGTTGTCTATCACCCATACCCAACTCTGGCAATACAGGTAACAATGGTAATGTGTGCATATTGAGATTGTAACTCGGTCATGTAAGTCACAGTGTTCTTGGTATCACAAGTTTTCTGTACAGCAACAACGATGTACCACTAACCGTAACAGACACGTACAGTAACAGCAACAGTAACAGACACGGTACAGTAACAGGGACGTAAGTATATACACAACGACGATGTACAACTAACCGTAACAGACACGTACAGTAACAGGGATGTAAGTATATACACAACAACGATGTACCACTAAAGGTAACAGACACCTACAGTAACAGCATCAGTAACAGACACGGTACAAAGACAGGGATGTATGTATATACACAACAACGAGCGCAATTATCAGTCAAGGATGATTATACTCTATCACAGGTCTATTTACACAATCAAGCTTCATGGAAATAATACTTGTTCATCTGTAACAAACCAGCAGTAATATATATCTGCTTTGACCAAACAAATGGAAATGTCACCATACACAGCCCAACACACAACAAGGCTGTCACAGCAACAAGAGGGGCTGAGGACCAGCTGTTTCCAGCCTAATAAATCCTTAAATATCATTCCACACTCAGAAACATATCATGTAACATTTTATCAAATTTAATAATGCATTCACTGTTGTTTGAGATATACGGTGTTTAATATAGAATATTTAACATGATTAACTACAATATATTCAGAACAAATTATCATATAAAATGTAAAATATATGTATATTCCAAGAAGAGAGTGTTTCTTCATATTAAACTACAGCATATGTGCATGTAGTGAAACCCTTACTATGTGTGTAGTGAAACCATTATGTGTAGTGAAAGCATTATGTGTAGTGAAAGCATTATGTGGATGGTGAAACCCTTATTATGTGTGGTGAAACCCTTGTGGATGGTGAAACCATGTGTGTAGTGAAAGCATTATGTGGATGGTGAAACCCTTATTATGTGTGTGGTGAAACCATTGTTATGTGGATGGTGAAACCCTTGTGGATGGTGAAACCATGTGTGTAGTGAAAGCATTATGTGGATGGGGAAACCCTTATTATGTGTGTGGTGAAACCATTGTTATGTGGATGGCGAAACCCTTGTGGATGGTGAAACCCTTGTGGATGGTGAAACCCTTGTTATGTGGATGGTGAAACCCTTGTTATGTGGATGGTGAAACCCTTGTGTACGTCGTGAAACCCTTGTGGATGGTGAAACCCTTGTTATGTGGATGGTGAAACTCTTGTTATGTGGATGGTGAAACCATAATGTGTGTAGTGAAGGCATTATGTGTGTGGTGCAACCCTTATGTGTGTCGTGATACCCTTATGATACAATTGCTATGTGTGTAGTGAAACCATTGTTATGTGCGCAGTGATATGAAACCCGTATCAACTGCGAGTGGTGAAACTCTGTGAATAGTGAAACCCCTATAAGCCCTCGTTATATGGGTGTAGTGAAACCCTATCAGTCCTTTCTGAACATAGGGACATCTAAACATATACAAAGTAATCCTCATACATATCGCCCATTCTATTAAGATCTATTTGCCACCATAACTTCATTTAAAATGATGCTAATCCATCCCTCCCACAAAATCCCAATCTCAAACATGCAAGACTCTTATAACGGTTATAATTGAGCTCTTAGTTGAAAAGACTAAAGTGATTAGACTGTTATATGTAGAGCATGTATGTTGAACTGGACTCCAGCTATGGAGGTGAAAAGGTTCAAGGCATCTAATACAACAGAGAGGAGACATAATTCCCTGGACGGGCGAGGATGACACAAGGATGGTTTTCAGATTAACAAGCTTTGAGTGCATGTTCATCAAGAGAGAGACTCTACAAGTAACAATTTCTTGTGTTATTATTATCACAGTATCATGACTAGTAACAGTTAAAACAGCGCTGGATCGGATTGGACAAGTAAGATAAATTATCATAAATAACCAAAAAACAAACATTATTAATTTAACATGCCACAACATAACTGTTGCTCTGATAAATATGTCAATAAATAATATTTACATAGATTAGGACTATAATTAGGTGTTCATCAATTATATCAATCATAATATCACATCTACTAATTACTCTGTAATTCGAATGGAACGATGAATACTAGTATTTACTCTGGTTTCTTTTCTAGTATAGTCACACTGATATGTTGGAACAGATGCTACAACTATGTTCCTGAGTAACTACTGAAAGCATATTTCACACATTCAACATCAGCTACTGGCATGTCTTGACATCTCACATCAGAGAAGTGTGTTACAAAACTGGGAACACAATGTACACTATTTGACTGAGCAATTTTCAACTTCCTGGACAAGTATACAACAAAATATATTCTTCTCAACAAACATCAAAATGTGTCTGCTTCACCTTTAAAGGAAGCATGTTGGCGATGTTCAACAAATGATGATGGGCCCTTGTACCTGCCCGCTTAGATCAACAGACCCTTGTGTCTTTGCGAGGATTAAGGATTAAAAACAATTTGTTTTGAGATGACCCCCGACTCAAAATGCTTCACAGTACAATACATCACGACAAGGCCAGACACTTCGGTGTACCCCACCTGCCTAGATCATTTAGTTGAGGGTCAAAATCGGCTTTGAATCGACTTGCAGAAATAGCAATAAAGAATTGGTAGGTGTCATGAATGGTGTTCAATAGGCCAATCATCCGTGATTATGTTTACATAAAGTTTTAATCGACTGCATGTGATGGTAGCGTAGCGATCGGCAAAGCAGGCGGTTGGGGTGCACCGAAGTGTCCGGCCTTGTCATGATGTATTGTACTGTGAAGCATTTTGACTTGGGGGTCATCTAAAAAGAACCCTTTTAAATCTTTAATCTTCACCAAGACACAAGGGCCTGTGGATTAGGTCTCGACCCCAGATGATCAAACTTCGGTATCCAAGCCTCCTTCTGGAACCGCCTTCAGTCTGGGCAGGGGTCTGTCTGTTAAACCATATGTGTCTGTAGAACGGACAGTTCCACTATATGGCCTGAATGTCGCGGACGCTGTGCTTTCAGCGCTTGACCTCAGCATGGTCAAATCTAGTGGCGGCACATCCTGCTTCTTCCGCAACATCACGGGGGTGAGGGGGAGGGAGGCACCACCATTGGAATAATCTAAGCTACCATCCTTCCTAAACTTGGCATTTTCGTTGATAGAAAACATGTGAGTTGTATTGAGGTCATCACTGCCCTCTTCTGAGTTGACGCCGATGACTTTTGTCTTGCGTTTCCTGGGTTCATGGCGCCGGTGTGAGCTCCCTGACAACAGACTCGCCTGCGAGGAGTGCTGGTCATAGTTCATCAGCACGGCGCTGTCGTAGGACTCGGCATCTGGGTGCCTGTGCTGGACTTCTTTTAAGGACTCTCCAGAATCGGAGTGGTAATCTGAGTGCCTTGTCCGACTTGAGCTATATAAGTCAGGGTTGTCTGGAACACAAGATTTGTTTGCTAAGCATGAATATCATCATAATTTATTTCAACTTCAATATTTATTTCCATTTATAAGAAACTGGCTGTAAGTATTGTGAACACACAAACCAGTGAATGATATGAGAATGATCTTTGCTGTCAAAGATTCATTTCATCATCACATTTAACAAGCTTAGGGAACCAGCGAAATATTCTAATTGGAATCCCGGGCAGAGTAGGGGCAGAGTAGTGAGTGTTGGGTTTTACATCACTTTCATCTCAGCAGCATCATGGTATGAAGGAGTGAAAATGTATGGATGTCAAGTAACCATGGGAACATACCAACAGTGCTTATACCCGGTTAACAAGTAACCATGGGAACATAACAACAGTGCTTATTCCGGGTTAACAAGTAACAATGGGAACATACCAACAGTGCTTATTCCGGGTTAACAAGTAACAATGGGAACATACCAACAGTGCTTATTCCGGGTTAACAAGTAACAATGGGAACATACCAACAGTGCTTATTCCGGGTTAACAAGTAACAATGGGAACATACCAACAGTGCTTATTCCGGGTTAACAAGTAACAATGGGAACATACCAACAGTGCTTATTCCGGGTTAACAAGTAACAATGGGAACATACCAACAGTGCTTAACACGGTCAACGAGTAACAATGGGAACATACCAACAGTGCTTATACCCGGTTAACAAGTAACCATGGGAACATAACAACAGTGCTTATTCCGGGTTAACAAGTAACAATGGGAACATACCAACAGTGCTTATTCCGGGTTAACAAGTAACAATGGGAACATACCAACAGTGCTTATTCCGGGTTAACAAGTAACAATGGGAACATACCAACAGTGCTTAACACGGTCAACGAGTAACAATGGGAACATACCAACAGTGCTTATACCCGGTCAACAAGTAACAATGGGAACATACCAACAGTGCTTATACCTGGTTAACAAGTAACAATGGAAACATACCAACAGTGCTTATACCTGGTTAACAAGTAACAGTGGGAACATACCAACAGTGCTTGTACCCGGTCAACAAGTAACAATGGAAACATACCAACAGTGCTTATACCCGGTCAACAAGTAACAGTGGGAACATACCAACAGTGCCTATACCCGGTCAACAAGTAACAATGGGAACATACCAACAGTGCTTATACCCGGTCAACAAGTAACAATGGGAACATACCAACAGTGCTTATACCCGGTCAACAAGTAACAATGGAAACATACCAACAGTGCTTATACCTGGTTAACAAGTAACAATGGGAACATACCAACAGTGCTTATACCTGGTTAACAAGTAACAATGGGAACATACCAACAGTGCTTATACCCGGTCAACAAGTAACAATGGGAACATACCAACAGTGCTTATACCCGGTTAACAAGTAACAATGGGAACATACCAACAGTGCTTATACCCGGCTTTAGAACTTTCTTTTTCTTCTTTTTCATCTTTTTAACGGGAGTCATACTGTCATCTGGTCGGACGTTTTTCTGAAAGAAGAACCACAAAATTAGACATCATGCCACTGTAACACAAGTAAGGCATTGGTCACAATCAAAAACAATGATGGACAAATAGTACAGTTCATTCTTAAATTTAAATTAATGAAATCTTGAGTGAACAAGCACTTTCCCCAAAGAAAGTTCTGCTCATATCCAGTAGCAAGATTTCCAAAGATGATTCCTGACACAATGTTTCAAAAGATATGATGTTCAACCATATTTATATATGTGAACAATATCACTTTGAAATTCAGATTTTGATATTTAGAAAGCTTAGTACTGCTACGACTGTTGTAAGTGTATGTTACAGTATAGGAAGTACAACAGTCGTAGGACTACGGTAGCTTTGCGAAACGGGTCCCAGGCCAATATTCTTCACTTCTGTTATCTCCCTTCCTCCCCTAAACCAGACGGAATAAATTAAGTCTTAAGCCCCTTTTAGCAATACTCAGCAACATGACGGTGCGGGACAGTAGAAATGAGCTTCAAACATTGTACCCATGTGGGGAATCGAAATAAAAAAAATGTGGTTCTGATTACACCCCTTTAAAATTTAGGGTAGGTAGGTAGGTATGATTTTTTTCTGAAACATTTTTTTAGAAGTAAAGTACAAACTAATAACACATTTATCAATGTGTAATTATTTATTCAAACAAGCTTGCGACCATTATGTCGACTTTCTCTATCAGTATGACCGATGTCCGTCAAACCAACCAACCAACCAACCAACCAACTACAATCCTGAGGTCTTACTAAAGCAAAGGGGAAGATGGGGAGACTTCAGGTGCTCCACACAGAGTACATACTTTAATGTGATGGTCGTCATGCTTGTGTATTGGACTGGCTGTAGGGGGTGGAGTCTCCCCTTCCTCGTCATGGTGGTTCCTCAAAGCCTTGTCATACGACAGTTTCCTGTAGGAAATACAAGCAGATGCTACACACATCGTGTTCATGGATACATGAATCTGTAGTAAGAACCTATGATGCAGGACTTAAGTGAGTGAGTGAGTGAGTGAGTGAGTTTAGTTTTACGCCGCACTCAGCAATATTAATTTCCAGTTATATGACAGCGGTCTGTAAATAATTGAGTCTGGACAAGACAATCCAGTGATCAACAGCATGAGCATCGATCAGCGATACTGGGAACCGATGATATGTGTCAGCCAAGTCAGCGAGCCTGACCACCCGATCCCGTTAGTCGCCTCTTACGACAAGCATGGGTTGCTGAAGATCAATCAGGACTTAAGCATCTACCACTATAATGCTCCCCACATGTAGCATGCTGATTACCAAGAATGTTACTGATGTCATGTCAATGCACACACTCAGAGTGAGTGAGTGAGTTTGGTATTACGCCGCGCACAACTCAGAGACCCATGAAGATCCGGGTTAGAATTGGTCTCCAGCAACCCATGCTTGTCGTAAGAGGCGACTAATGGGATCGGGTGGTCAGGCTGGCTGACTTGTTCGACACATGTCATCGTATCTCACTTGCGTAGATCGATGCTCATGCTGTTGATAACTGGATTGTCTGGTCCAGACTCGATTATTTACAGACCGCCGCCATGTAGCTGGAATATTGCTGAGTGCGGCGTAACAATAAACCATCAAGCACACACTCAGATGCCTTAATCCTACAGTAGATGGTGATGTCAATATGGCATAATCACTTTAATCTTTGAAGATACTTCTTACTGGAACAAGAATGCCAGTTGTATGTCACACATACACTTCCATTCTAACCATGCATTTCTACTTAGAGCAACATTTTGCATATGATAATATCTCTGCCTCAATGATGGGAACATCCTCGATAATCTCCAGGGTATACGTCACGATCACTCTCCAATATACCCTGGATGCATCCACGGCTTGGGGCAATGATTTTATTACCTCCCTTGGCTGGCTTTTTATCCAGTCAGGTGCCTACGCTGGGAAGTTGAGCGTACCAATCACTACTCACTTTCGCGTCTTAAATTATCTAACCGTTTAAACTTGGCAACATAATTGATGCAGAGGTACTCTCACAGAAGTAGAAGGAGTTCTTTCATATATTCTTTTTAAAGTTTCAGATCTGTGAATTTGTCTTTATTATTTCCCCACAAATCTGAGTGGCACTGCGATCAAACCTTTGCGACTGCGACCGCTATCTGAGTTGACACTGGCAAGCTCGGTTGTAACGGCAGCTTAGCTGATTGGCTACAGTGAGAATGCGGAGCCAGCCAAGGGAGGTAATAAAATCATCGCCCCACAAGCCGTGGATGCATCCAGGGTATAGTTGAGAGTGATCGTAACGTATACCCTGGAGATTATCGAGGATGTAATGGGAAAGAAAATCTGGGATTTACAAAAATATCATGATGATCACAGGATCTTGGCATGCCTAAGGGGGATAACTCTACACAAGAAAATTTGGTGCCTGAGACAACTGGCCCTGAAGACATACCTGTGTTGTTTGTGAAGGCGGCCATCAACAGTGTCTATTGTTGTCACTGGCTTCGGCTTTGTTGGCGTCACTCGATTACTCTGCACACAAACAACAGTCAATGTCAATCTATCCAAGCACATGTACATACATCTTATTACCTCCCTTGGCCATGCACACAAAGGATGTCATTACAATCCTCCTCTCTTGTATGCAACCATAATTTAGAATGTTGGAATAAATGCCTCCTTTAAGTTACTAAGTTTTTCAACTACTTCATGCTGTGTCTGGATAATTCTGTAGTCAAGCATGCACACAAAGAACCATTAACACCTGAACTTAGGTGAAACTGGGATCTCAGTTTGGGGAAGCAACTTTCTGTAGACTGTACAACCATCACAGAACTATATCATATGAACCTATGAGTCGGCCTATATCAACCCAGGAGTCCATTTCCACTCATAAGTTGGTCTATACCAACCCAATAGACGGTCTATATCAACCCAGGAGTTGGCCTATATCAACCTGTCAGACGGATTATATGAACCAAGGAGTCGGTCTACATTAACACAGGAGTCTGTCTATATCAACCTGTCAGACAGTCTATATCAACCCAGGAGTCGGTCTATATCAACCCAGGAGTCTGTCTATATCAACCTGTCAGACAGTCTATATTAACCCAGGAGTCGGTCTACATTAACCCATGAGTTGGTGCATATCAACCTGTCAGACAGTCTATATCAACCCAGGAGTCGGTCTATATCAACCTGTCAGACGGATTATATGAACCAAGGAGTCGGTCTACATTAACCCAGGAGTCTGTCTATATCAACCTGTCAGACAGTCTATATCAACCCAGGAGTCGGTCTATATCAACCCAGGAGTCGGTCTATATCAACCTGTCAGACAGTCTATATCAACCCAGGAGTCGGTCTATATCAACCCAGGAGTCGGTCTATATCAACCTGTCAGACGAATTACATGAACCAAGGAGTCGGTCTATATCAACCCAGGAGTCGGTCTATATTAACCCAGGAGTCGGTCTATATCAACCTGTCAGACGAATTATATGAACCAAGGAATCGGTTTATATCAACCAAGGAGTCGGTTTATACCAACCCAATAGACGGTCTATATCAACCCTGGAGTCGGTCTATACCAACCCAATAGACGGTCAACCTGTCAGACGGATTATATGAACCAAGGAGTCGGCCTATATCAACCCAGGAGTCGGTCTATATCAACCTGTCAGACGAATTATATGAACCAAGGAGTCGGTCTATATCAACCAAGGAGTCGGTCTATATGAACCCAGGAGTCCATCTATATCAACCTGTCAGACAAATTATATGAACCAAGGAGTCGGTCTATATGAACCCATGAGTTGGTGTATATCAACCTGTCAGACAGTCTATATGAACCCAGGAGTCAGTCTATATCAACCCAGGAGTCGGTCTATATCAACCCAGGAGTTGGTGTATATCAATCTGTCTGGCAGTCTATATCAACCCAGGAGTTGGTGTATATCAACCTGTCAGGCGGTCTATATGAACCCAGGAGTCGGTCTATATCAACCCAGGAGTTGGTGCATATCAACCTGTCAGACAGTCTATATCAACCCAGGAGTCGGTCTATATGTACCCAGGAGTCGGTCTATATTAAACCAGGAGTCGGTCTATATTAACCCAGGAGTCGGTCTATAAAAACCCAGGAATTGGTGTATATCAACCTGTCCGACGGTCTATATGAACCCAGGAGTCGGTCTATATCAACCCAGGAGTCGGTCTATATTAACCCAGGAGTCGGTCTATATTAACCCATGAGTTGGTGCATATCAAACTGTCAGACAGTCTATATCAACCCAGGAGTCGGTCTATATCAACCCAGGAGTCGGTCTATATCAACATATGAGTTGGTGTATATCAACCTGTCAGACAGTCTATATGAACCCAGGAGTCGGTCTATATCAACCCAGGAGTTGGTGTATATCAACCTGTCAGACAGTCTATATGAACCCAGGAGTCAGTCTATAGCAACCCAGGAGTCGGTCTATATCAACCCATCAGATGGTCCATATCAACCCATCAGACGGTCTATATCAACCCGTCTGACGGTCAGTATCAACCCATCAGACGGTCAGTATCAACCCATCAGACGGTCAGTATCAACCCGTCAGATGGTCTATATCAACCCGTCTGACGGTCAGTATCGACCCATCAGACGGTCGGTATCAACCCATCAGACGGTCAGTATCAACCCATCAGACGGTCGGTATCAACCCGTCTGATGGTCTATATCAACCCGTCTGACGGTCAGTATCGACCCATCAGACGGTCAGTATCAACCCATCAGACGGTCAGTATCAACCCGTCAGATGGTCTATATCAACCCGTCTGAGGTCAGTATCAACCCCGGAGTCTATATGAACCCATCAGCAGGTGCTACCTTCTTGGCTGTCTTGCCGGCCTGCTGCTGCTGCAGCCGCTTGTTGCTGGTGTACTCCTGGTACTCCTCCACATCCTTCAGGTCCTCCCGCTGCATCACGATGTAGTCGTACGTACTCAGACCCTTGCACACTGCAACACACAGTGAAAACATGCATGTAGTCGTACGTACTCAGACCCTTGCACACTGCCACACACAGTGAAAACATGCATGTAGTCCTTGCACACTGCAACATGTTACACCCCTGGTATAGTAACAGTGTTACTATACCAGGCATGTAACAGTGTTAGTATACCAGGGGTGTAACAGTGTTACTATACCAGGGGTGTAACAGTGTTACTATACCAGGGGTGTAACAGTGTTACTATACCAGGGGTGTAACAGTGTTACTATACCAGGGGTGTAACAGTGTTACTATACCAGGGGTGTAACAATGTTTCCGCTGGGTTTTTAACTGCTGGTTACTGTGTCAGACAACCTCCTAATTTACTGGTCCTGCACAAAATCTGCCGGTCACAAAATATATTTTGCCCCTCACCTCAAAACAAGTTGGAGAGTGTCGTCTGCTTTCCACTTGCCATTTCAACAAACACATGGTATTAAAACAATCGGACAACATTGTTATTTTCCGTGATTTCCCGTGATAACAGCAATTATAGTAACATTTCCAGGTACAAAATTTTAAATACATCGATCATTTCCGAATGACTGTCAAACTGACCAATCACACTGCACGTAGCATGATGAATTTAGAAGGAAACCTTATCTCACACGAAAATCTTATGTGGCCAATGCTATTATTAGAGGATTATAATAGCGATTTTATTTTAATTTCGGTAACATTTTAAGTAGGACACAAAAATACTTTGGGTATTTTGGTCCTGGGCAAAATCTTGTAAATATCCCGGAAACAGAAACACTGAGTGTAACAGCCATTAAACCAGCAGATGTGGTCGGACAGTGAGACTGAAGCAGTAAATACAGACACCATGTTATAGTGACTGGCTGGTTGGTTTGTCGTTTAACACCGCACTCAGCAATATTCCAGCTATATGGCGGCCGTCTGTAAACAATCAAGTCTGGACCAGACAATCCAGTGTTCATCAGCATGAGCATCAATCTACGAAATTGGGATACGATGACATGTGTCAACAAAGTCAGCGAGTCTGACCACCTGATCCTGTTAGTCGCCTCTTACGACAAGCATGGGTTGCCGATGATCAATTCTAACCCGGATCTTCACGGGTCTGATGACATGGGTTGCTGGTACCTGCTGGATCAACATGATGAGCATCGATCTACACAAGTGGTGTAGTGACTGGACACTTACTGAGGTAGACATGGAAACTGAACAGATGAGCGAGCAGGGCAACAGCAATGAGAGCCAGGACGCCGGTGATCCCCACAAGAGCAAGCCAACCTTCCTTGTCCACTGTCTGGTACAGAATCTGGAACTCTGTAGTGAAACATTCGTATTAAAAATATAAAATCATGACATTACAAATAATAGACCGTATTTGGGTTTCTATTGTTTTGAAGATTTTATCAAACAGAACAGAAACAAGCCAAACACTGTGAGCAAGACTCTAACCTTTCAAGCTATAGCTTGAACCAAATTGTCTTCGGCGGCTAGCCAGAATTCCTTGGTGTAACTATATAAGAGGTCAGGGGTAAAAAAATATTACCCTTTCTCAGTTACCATATGAGATGTATTAACATGTATCAGTAGAGGACGTAATGTATATGCGTGACAGTCCCCCGTTACATGTACAAGTGACTGCCTGAGAGGGGTCACTCATTCATGTGACTGTCTGATCACAGACAGGGAAATTATGCATGTCACACAAAAAGCGTCTAAAAGTGCTATTTATGAGACTAACTTAACAAAATTTGCTACAGTCATTGATAGTTGTTCAAGTTATTGAATGACAAAAATGTGCAAAATTTAAGCAAAATTGGAGGATATTTAACAACGAATTTCACCTATCTGCATATTTTTCAGAAACTTACATTTAGCATTTTCTGACAGGTCATTCGTCATAAATTGAAAATATATATGCAGTTTATGATGCACATGAACGCACACCTGTTTGTTATTGAAACTTGCTTACATTCTTTGAAACTGCGCGAACCGTCTCGCATAGAAGTGACTGGGGAAGCGAGTCATTAATGGGAGGTAACTGCTGCCTGACTAAATTGGGCAGTCAAACCATCCGTCATGTGACTTGGACTGTCTTAAGCATACGTAATATATATTAGGATAATTTTTTCGTGTTTCAAAGCATTTTTTCTCTACAACAAAGAAGATATAAGTAAGATTATAGGGACTATATTATTTGGTGGAAGTATAACAACAGGAAAACACGACTAAGAGAAGGGGTCACTTCTACTGATGTGTATTGTATATTGTCAGATAAGGACAAACTTTACGGTTGAACAACTTCTTTAGTTGGGGGATTCGAAATTTACATCCTGGTTGACAGTGATACTAGGATCTGTATCGAAACGTCGCATCACCCGAATAAAGAAGTTGCTCATCCATAAAGTCTGTCCTTATCTGACTCTCCAACTTCTAGAAATGCCACTCAAAGAAGGAACATATAGTGTTTAAATCACAATATATCCCTTAAATCCATTCATTCCTACACTATGGTACAAACATTTCTTGCTTTGCTAAATGTCATTTAGGTATCATTGTTTCCAATAACATCACATTACTTCTCTGATAATGTTTCAAACTTTTGTGGATGATGACATACCTGCTATAGAATGGTTGCCTGGAAATAAAATAAACAGAATCATTATTTGTTTTTTTCAAAGCTACGATGGATTCAACAATTGCATGTCAACAAACAAGTTTATATAACATCAGCACCTTGTTTAGTGTGAGTGTGTGTCAGTGAATTTAGTTTTACGCAACACTCAACATATATGGCGGCGGTGTGTAAATATTCGAGTCTGGACCAGGCAATCCAGTGATCAACAGCATAAGCATTGATCTACGTATTGATACGATGACATGTGTCAACCAAGTCAGCAAGCCTTACCACCTGATCCTGTTAGTCGCCTCTTATGACAAGCATGGGTTACTGAAGACCAATTCTAACTCGCATCTTCACGGGTCATTTACCAAGAAATATCAACATGCTAAACATGTTTAATAATAGCACTTTACTGTGTACCTCTATATGGCTGCAGGAGACGGCCATCTTTTTCGTCTGTGAAGAATCCGATGAACTGTACCAGACACACGCACAGAATTAGCAGACATCCCACTCCCCCACTCACCAGCGTCGCGAGGAACCATCTGTACATAATATAATACTTCTTGGTGACTACTTCATGACACTTCACATACCAATTCTGCTTCATGACACCTACTTTACATACAGATACTACTTCATGATACTTCACAAACAGAATTACTTCATGATACTTCACATACCAATTCTGCTTCATGACACCTACTTCATGACACCTACAGATACTACTTCATTACACTTCACATACAGAAACTACTTCATGACACTTCACATACCAATTCTGCTTCATGACACCTACTGTACATACAGATACTACTTTATGACACTTCACATACAGAAACTACTTCATGACACTTCACATACCCATTCTGCTTCATGACACCTACTTTATGACACCTACAGATACTACTTCATGACACTTCACATACAGAAACTACTTCATGACACTTCACATACAGAAACTACTTCATGACACTTCACATACAGAAACTACTTCATGACACTTCACATACCAATTCGCTTCATGACACCTACTTTATGACACCTACCAATACTTCATGACACCTCACATACAGAAACTACTTCATGACACCTACTTCACATACAGATACTACTTCATGACACCTACTTCACATAGATACTACTTCATGACACCTACTTCACATACCATTACCACTTCATGTCACGTTCACATAATGAGTCTCCTTAATGACACCTACTTTCAATACAGATACTACTTTCTGACACCTACTTCACACACTGAGATGATGAAATTACGCTACATTGACACACACCTCAGCTGAGCAACACCAATCCTACCAATGAATCTGGTTTACAACTGTCTTGACCAATATTCCAGTCACGTCATGCCATGTCAGCCTGATGTGGGAGGACAGGCTGACGGGATGCAAGTCTTAGACATATACCAAAGTGGTGAGAACTGTCACCATGGTTTCTGATGCCCAAGCAACACAGCTCTGCACTGCAAATTGCTGCACCATACAATAATACTACCATATCCTTTCAAAGAAATAATGCTTAAAGAAGATCAGGGGCCTGTTTTACAAAGCAGTGATACCTCAAGGATGGTCATAAATCTATGTTATCGGAAAAGAGTAACGATGGTCATAGCACTACAATCACTTTGTGACACAGGGCCCAGATCATGAGATGCAGTGATTTGGTTGATGACATTGCTGATAACATGGTTGATGACAGCGCTCTGTATATAATCAAGCATAGATCTATGCCATTGGGATATGATGACATGTGTCAACCAAGTCAGCGAGCCTGACCACCCGGTCCTATTAGTCGCCTCTTACGACAATCATGGGTTGCTGAAGACCAATTCTAACCCGGATCTTCCCGGGTCCAATGACATGGGTTGCTGAAGACCAATTCTAACCCGGATCTTCCCGGGTCCAATGACATGGGTTGCTGAAGATCAATTCTAACCCGGATCTTCCCGGGTCCAATGACATGGGTTGCTGAAGATCAATTCTAACCCGGATCTTCCCGGGTCCAATGACATGGGTTGCTGAAGATCAATTCTAACCCGGATCTTCATGGGTGTGATGACATGGGTTGGTGGTACCTGTGTCGGGGAGCATGCTCTCGGTCACCAGTCACTTGGCTGGCTGATGTACAACCGCCATGACATAGCAGGAATATTGCTGACCGTGGCAGAACACATTCTCTTATTCTCCATTGAACTGACCTGTAATTCCTGCCGCCGACACAGTTGTTGAGCCACTTACAGTGGTGGTCAAAGTCTGACACACACTTGTTGCAGGCACTGCAGTGTTTGGACTTGGACCCACTGAAACACAAACACATGGGGACTTTCAACAGCATAGGCATGACAAAGCTGAAACAGATAGAGTGAGTGAGTGAGTGAGCTGGGTTTCTGGGACACCAGAAAAAGGCTTTACACCTTGTGTCCAATATGGGGAATGAAACCCCATGTCTTCAACGTGATGAGCGAATACTTTAACCACTAAGCTACTCCAAAGCCCCGAAACAGATAGACATCACTGAACTGTTCTTGCAGATATACCTCTACTGCCAGGAATGGTACAGTCTGTAAGAGTTGCTGGATGGAACCTGCATCAGAGCAGTGTGCGAAATAGTTTCCAAATTTTGCCTGAAAGTAACTAGCCCACAAAATAATTCACTTGTCCAAAATTTGAATGTAGAAACTAAGCAAAAGATTACAAAAATAAGATGAGAATAAGATATTGTCCGCATGACTCATGTTTCATCATTAAGCTGCTTGTATGATGAACATTTTTAATCTTGCATGATTCAAAAGTGTATTATAACTTAACAAGTCAGAGAGAGTGATATATTTACAAAATGACCCCATGAAAATTCGCTAGCCATTTGGGCCAGTGACTGTGTAGATTTACTGACCCAGCTGGATATTTACTAGGCACGGGCTAGTGGGCCAGTGGCTATTTCACACATTGCATCTGAGAAGTTTGGTTCGAATCCATCGGTCTTAATGTGGGGTTGTTACTGGTGGGTGGCCTTTGTGGGGAAAGACTATAATTTGACAATTTTGCTGAAAACATTCCCTTTAAGTGCCAGAAGGTGTTTCTATGGTTGTTGAATCGACGAGCAGTGCCATGCTGCCAGGTACCACACTGAATCACACCTATAGCTCTCGATCTATCATTTCCCCTGTGTTGTAGCATATTCCAGAACAATGAATAGAGGTGTTTTTCTGACTTCTGCATTCTTAAGAGTAGAAATGTTAAGCATCTGATAATCTGGCCTTAAAAAATGAACATTGTTGGCCTTGAGATTTGTCAAGGTTGTTGCAAATTTTCTGCAATTCGAATAACAATTGCTTGGTTGCATTTCTTCAAATGTTTTGATATTCGTTCTCTGAAGTTCTCTATTCATCCTGAAATTGCTTCACTATATTACCAATGAAAACAAAAATCCATGTCAGAGTAACATTTGCTTTTAAGAATGTATGCTTCTGGACCAGACAATCAAGTGATCTAGTGTTCAAGCTATGACCAATGCTTCCACTACATCACCAAACCTGACCATCCGATCCACATTGGGCTGTTAACTTGTAAAGGAAATATTAAAGTATCAAGTTACTTAAAATAACTTAATCAAGCAGTTCACCAAACTGTTGTGAAACTTCTATCAAAACTATGAATGTAAAATGAAATATCCATCAAACATTAACATCTCAGGGGTGGAAATAACCCATTGCCCGATGCCTGAGTCCAGTGTTTTTTTTCTGTCAGGCAAGCAAATTTGTATATCACACTGTACCGGTGTCCAGTTGACTTTCCAATATTAATAATGTTGTTTATTTGAAAAATCAACAAGAAAACGGCCGGTATAGTGGAAAAATTATCAGGGCAAGTGATTTTACATGTGCCACTCTACCGGAGTACACTAGCAATTTTAAAGTTATTTCCACCCCTCTATCCACTTTTTCTTTCATGTACCAATATGTACCAATATGCAGTACCATATGATCTCCTTCAACAAGTGATACAGATACTTCCACATTCGCCATGACAACCACATGACTTACACATTCACACGGCACAAATAACAGTGCTGGTTCTCAATAACATGTCTCCGCTTCTTTCGGTCAAATGTTGGCATCTTGTCTTTAAAGTTTGCTCTGAGGACAGCTTCGTCTGCAGGGTTGATAAGGGTGGCGACAAAGTGTGTGAAGACATGCACCACACACGCCAGACCATTGATCTGAGGTCGTCAAGGAACTGGAGGAGAGGGTGATGAGCAAAACTTGATGAACTTCACATACATGTCAATACTAAAAAACTTACCAATGGGAGACACCGCCCAAATTTTCTCGCTAGGTGGTGCAGGTGTATTACAAGTTACAGCGTGAAACTGGAAGTCATCTATCAAGGTTAGTTCGACAGTGGTGTAAACATGCCGAGATACTACTCTGTTCCGGTTTGCAAAAATAATATAGGGGACACAAATACCCCTGACCTGCGTTGCATTAAGAACATTGATGTGTCAATGGAAACTCTTTGGAACCCAGGGACAAGCGATGTCGCCTGTTGAGCCTACTTTACCAATGGTGAATTGTGGATACACTATTAGGTTCGTCAATAACAATGTTTTGTTTGTTAAGAATGATAAAATAATTAAGTATGAATGGTTTCTAACTCTTACTTTGTATTTTTTTAAAAGTTGATAAATATGCTTTAAAATTGAATATTTTTGTTCTGTAAACATGTTGTTTGTTGCCTGTCAAATACTACAGTCAACACTAGTCAGGCTATTACACCATGTTCATGCTGGCATGTTAACATTGAAACTACTGTCAGTGGTTGATCTTCCTCCCATGTTTAAAGGTCACATGCAACGAAAACACAACTTTGCAGATTTTGATACCTTCGGTATGGACTTACCGAAACAAATCATCAAAAATGCAAATTCAACTTATAAAGTTTAAAAATAACGCGATGAAAAACGCGCTAAATCGGAGTTCAAACGATTCACTAATTTTCCCCGACTTTTCGGGGAAAACTGGTTTCAACAGCTGGCTGCGCTCATAGCATGCACATGCGCAGTGAAATAGGTTCGCATTAACTTGGAAGCAGGCTGTCCGGTGAATACCGGGTGAAGGCTTTGGTGTGAGCTATTTTCCTAATGTTTTGTTGATATCTCACAGGTCACGAAGCTTTTATATGTTATGACAGTAAATAAACTGTTTATATAATTTCATTTGTCTATTTCACCACACGCTCTTCTTACCGAGTCACTTTCTCAGTTTGATACTTAAAAGCAATGTCATTATTTAGCGTTGACAGAATTTCTAACTGTGATGTAGATATGTCGCTGTCACAGACAAAAATCAATGTCTTGTTTTATTGACACCTGTGTGTCTGCCTGCCTGTCTGCTAATGACAATATTCAATACAATAACTGCGATCACTGACCACATGCAATTTGAACTTAACACCAATCAGGCTATACACCATAAACAAAACACATTGATTTATGGCCCGAGTTTGGTCTCTGTCACATTATGTAATTACACAGACAGGCAGGTGTGATATTTGAACACATGACATGTTATGATGTCTGTTGATTGCAAAATGTTATACATAAAACATGAGCATGTATTTACAAAACCCAACATCTCTATATATATACACACAATGAGCCGTGAGGGCATCTGCAAATGAACCAGCCGTTACACTTGAGTGCACACCCACCCGCTCTGACTGGGTTCGGTATCCCGGCTGCTTCGTTTCTTGGGAAGTAAACCCAAGTACACAATATTGCACTTTGATAATTTTGTTTTTGTATATGTTTTTTCATAACCAGCAATGTATATTATATGTCATGAATAAGTGATAATTGTGTTTTTAATTATGTTTGATTTTTTGGTTGCATGTGACCTTTAACGGTTTGGTGGAATAGACCAAATATCTGGGTATGATTACTAAATCAAATTAAGTTTCTTCTTACACATAAAATCAAATCCTAGGGATCTGTATAAACTGAGACCGACTCATAAGAATACTTCTAGGACAAGTGTCTCCACCTAGTTGTCGATATCAAAAGTACATTTCCAGGGGACATAACTCCTCAGAAATTGAAGGTATTTATTGTTTCTGGGTCAGTGACAATGTAATTATAAGTGCACATGAAACCAAATATTTCCCTCTTGCCACTAATTCATGTAAATAATGTAAGTTATTTCATTTTTCTTCAACAATGTTCCCAAAATACTTCAATTCTTTCATCCTGCTTACCGCACCATTGCAAGTACACAAAATATTAAACTGGTATAGTCTGGTGTCATGTTTATAAAATCTGGAGTGTACACCACTCAATGAATACAATGAGCACATACTTGCTAATGCTATCATCATTCAAACTAGTTTGTGAGTTTAATTTTACGCCGCTTTGAGCAATATTCCAGCAATATCGCCAGGGACACCGGGAATGGGCTTCACACATTGTACTCATATGGGGAATCGAACCCGGTCTTCGGCGACAAGCAAACGCTTTTAACCACTAGGCTAGCCACTGCCCCTATCACCACTCAAAACAAACCCAGTACATCTAGATCTGCAGTGTCTAGTCATGTCTTAAAGATGTTAAAACATTTGGATCTCTTTGCAGGACAAAGGATACTGATATATATCCAGCTGGTTGCCACTCCGCTGGGAGGGGACGGGACGAGGGTGGTGAAGTAGATGATGAGGAAGTAGACAACCACCAGCCAGGCCACACCCTGCAGGGGGTGCGGCGGGAGGGACCAGCCATTCCGGCGGCTGCTCTCCTGGTAATAATCTGGCTCCATCGCTCCTCCTGAAATGTGAGATTAAGCAAAGAAAGGCATTACAGGGAATCAGGGAGTGAATGTTGAAATGGCGTACAGCTTCTATCAAGTGAGTGAGTGAGTATGGTTTTACGCCAATTTTAGCAATATTCCAGCAATATCACAGTGGGGGACACCAGAAACGGGCTTCACACATTGAACCCATGTGGGGAATTGAACCTGGGTCTTCAGCGTGACGATGACGAGTGAACGCTTTAACCACTTGGCTACCTCACTGCCCTGCTTCTATCAAGTAAACAGTCAGGATTTTGTTGGCAAGTAAACTGTCTTACAGTCTAGTTAGATCAGCTTGTTCTAGTCCATACATTAAGTCTAATATCACCTGAAAATAATGCCAAGGTCAGAGCTCCAGATAGATTTAGCTCATGTGGGTACTGTACCCACTGTATTTTTTTGGAGTAGGTATTATGAATGTTGAACAGGTATTTCATTTTCCGTTACCCACTTCTTTCAAATATGTGCATATTTCAGTCATTTTACTCGCCTGAGTATTAGGTCATTGAGTAAGTTTACTAAGCAGGTATGTTCTGTCTTATGTCATACCTAATCAAAATCAACTTAAATATAATGGAAATGATTCAGGGAGTCTGCAAATAGCTGTCCAGGTACACCAAGAGACAATGTGCAATGATCAATGTAAATGATATGACTAAAAATCAGGTCACGTATTGCAACCTGCTGATCCTAACTGGAATCACATGGCTAGGTAGAGAGTTTCTAATGACGATGATTGGGAAGATGCTATCAATATCCATATGTACACCTTATTATAAACAGTCAAATGGTATCAAATAAATGGCCAAAGAAATGACATTATTTTGAAAAACATGATAGCAGTCTTGGACTTGAGCCACTGGACCAAAGTCTGAGTTGAGTGAGTTTGTCTGGTAACACCAGAAGATTCTACTCCATGAACTAGTCATGATTAAAATCTGCAGAAATTTATAAATACATGTTACTAGGAACCACAAAACACTTTGGCACATAACGCTGCGGGCTATTCAATATAACCCATACAGTTAATATGAAACACTCTTCCTTACATCGATGAAGTGATATTTGAAAATAATCTGGCCCTAATATGCTTCCATACTTCGGATCTCCAGCTGGATGTTATGCGCATCAGTTGCTGCGCAGAATTACCGGACAGCAAGCAATGTCGTCAGAACGCCGGTGAGGTCAATCGTATGGCATAATGCAATGTTAGAATCTTAAAGTCGTCAATAAAACTTATATTTCTAGGTAAATATGATGCATACCAGCATGTTTAGTCACGTAAACCACAAAAAATAAGAGACGTTTGTTGCCTTGTTGCGATCGACGTGCTTAGGTGCGCGGAATTACCAGACGGCATTGTATACTAAATAATACTGGAATAAGACCAATCCATCCATGGGGGTGCCAGTCAAATCGCCCCAGCTACAAACGCCCCAGCCAATTGTGGAAGTTGACATGAACTGCCTCAGCAAATATGTTATATGTTTTATTTGTTTTCTGTTGGGCAAATCCATTAAGCAGACACAGGTAACAGCACATAGTTAGTCTATGCACCGGACCATTAACATGTGTTGTTTTAAGCTGTAGTTCTTGTGGGATGTAGTTCTTATGGGAGGACACCGGTCAAAAGGTACACTTACAGAATACCGGATACATACCAACCATATTGTTAATGTCACGTCTATCTAACTCTAACGCTATCCCTAACCCTAAACCTTACCCTAACCCGAACCCTAAACCTTACCTTACCCCTAAACCTTGCCCTAACCAACCCTAAACCTTACCCTAACCCTAGGAGTTAGGAAGGTATCCGGTATTCTGTAATCTTACCATAATTATAGTAATATTTCTGATGTAATTTTAGTAAAACTACATGGCTTGAAAATAATCAAAATGAAAATGACAATGTAGATATAAAATAAGACGGAGCCATTGACAGTAGAAAACACATAGTGACAGCGACTCTGCCTATTTTCGGAACACACATGAAGATTCAAATACATGTCCATTGTCTACTGATAAACAATCCTACGTTTAACAGAAAAATGAACAGACTTACCTAAATGCCGATGTCAGATATCGAACATGTCACCGGTAAGATAGCGTAATATTTTGTCCACGACAGATAAACAACATTATTCCGCCATCTTGAATCCAAGGTAATTTCTCATTCGGGAAACTTCGGTAATCTCCGACATGTGCTTTTACAGACGCTTCGTACGACCTGCGCACGCAGGAAAAGCAGCAACGTATCTCGTGTTTGTGTTCTGTTGGAAAACACAATAAATAGTGTCACACTTTCAAAAAAGCGTTAAGTCCATTTGATGACCTTTTGTCGATGAAACAAATTCAACATGACCTGTTGCCGTTGCTTCCAAGAATGACGAGAGTGAAGTATTACGATGGCGAGGAAGGGCGACATGACCAACCATAGACAAAGATTTAATTACTCATTATGACTCGTTAGTATTGATTGTAGTTCATTTTGTTATCCGACACAGTCATCTGTTCCCTCACCTAAGTTTGACACCCGATTGTCTGATACATCCAATTAGCAGATATGTTACAACTAATTAGGCGTATTATATAGAACCGCGATGAGCTTAATTATCCCCCATTGTGTTGCCTAGCAACATCAGTTAATCTGCAATACCTCAATGAAAGGATAATAATTTACCCTTTACAAAGTCGAAATAGACCCACTTAGAAGTGGGAAGGGGGCGGTTATCTTCATCATCACCATCATCATCATCATCATCATCATCATCATCGTGTACCCAGATAACGTATCTCGTTTCGGGACGCATGTGACAGATAAGCTAGTGGTGAGCATGTAATTTGCAAGGGTGGATACAGCTTTTTGAGAAAGGGAGTGGTGGGAGTGCACAGTTCATTTTCATCCGTTTTAGAGTTCTGAATGCTCATTTAATTCATTTAATAAACGTTCAGCACAAAAGGAGGGAGGGGTTGGGGTGCGCACTCCTGCACATGGTCGGATCGACCAGCTGCAAAGGGCTCACAACGAGGGGTTCCCGTTTTGCCGGACGCTTTTGTTATAGATAAAAATTCACTGATGCGCGATAATCCTTTAAACAATAGGGTATTAACTTATAGTCTGTTTCGGCCTGAGAAAGTACACACTGGAGCTTCATCTCAATATTTCATATATCACCAATTCAACATTTTTGGTACATTTTATCTTCATGATAAAATTCATAAATACCTATTTCGTACATTTTCAGAAAACGAGAAACTGGTAACTGAAGACATAAATAAATATGCATAAATATTTTCTGAACTGAACTTGATCTTGATGGTGGTTGTGTGTGTTCCTGGAACTGCTGAGAACATCACTGACGGTGTTGGCCGTTACAGGACAACCTGTCTGACAACATTTCAGATGAACTCGGTCCCTTTTTGTGCTCTACCCCTAAACTTGTGACCTAGATAGATACAGTGTCTACCTACCTCCCCTCGAATTTGGAATGTTAACTTGAGCGTTTGCCATTTTGCATGTCACGTCTACATTCTTTATATACAGGCACAACTTCAGAAATAATCATTGGAATAAGCTTCACTCAATTCAGCTAATATAATTCGATTTAACTAAAATCAGTTTCTAGAAATCGAGTTCACTCAAAACAAATTCGTGCCTTGTAATTAATGATTTCGAACTCAGTGACAAGTAATCACTGAACAGAGGCCCAGATAAGCTGCGTATCCGAGTAAAATACGCATTGAAAAATTTCCAATTACGCGTTGAAAAATAACTGTTGCGTGCCAATTACGCATTTAAAATGTTAGATACGCAAAAAGTTTAAAACAAATGCGTATACGGAATATATTTATAAAAATCGCTTGCGTAATGAAAAAGACATCGATTGCTATCAAGTTGTACTGTAAGTATAGGACAAGTGTTGTACTGTCAGTATAGGATGAGTGGTTTTTTTGTGAAATCATTTCCATTATATTTAAGTTAGTTTTGATTAGGTATGACATAAGGCAGAACATACCTGTTTAGTAATCTTACTCAATGACATAATACTTAGGTGAGTAAAATGACTGAAATACGCACATATTTGAAAGCAGTGGGTAACAGAAAATGAAATACCCACTCAACATTCATAATACCCACTCCCAAAAAATACAGTGGGTACAGTACCCACATGAGCTAAATCTTATCTGGAGCTCTGACTGAAAACAGACTATAGCCGGCAAACTAGCGCACCGTTACTCTTAATTCGTTATCATCACATCAGCTGTCCGGCAAAGTGGGGTATGACCCTCACAACACCGATTCATGTGTCAATTGCAATATGGAAGACGCACTACAGTAGAGTTTATGCACAGCCGACGCGTGCCGTCGATCAGGCGTGTAACGAAATTAGGTTACGCAGGCTAAATCGTGCTTAATGCAGATCGCTGTCGTCCATCTCAACGGAACCTGGCTGTCGGATTGATTACCTGGGATTTCCGAAAAAACGAACCGACGCAGCATTACATGCAAGTAATACCAGTCATCCCTTATTTAGGATTGTATCGCTGACTGGACTTCCCGAGGTTTCACATCTTACGGAGTAAATAAGCTTTTTTGTATACTAATGTTTGCAACAAATACATGTTGTTTATGCACATAAAGAAAGTGCACCCGAGACTTTTAGTTGTATTTTCCATGTGGGGGGTGTACTCGTCACTATATGGCTGAAATAATGCCGATCAACCCAATGGATGTGAGTGTGTGAGAGAGAGAGAGAGAGAGAGAGAGAGAGAGAGAGAGAGAGAGAGAGAGAGAGAGAGAGAGAGAGAGAGAGAGAGAGAGAGAGAGAGAGAGAGAGAGAGAGAGAGAGAGAGAGAGAGAGAGAGAGACCCTGTTCTTATCATTTCCATCTAATATTAGGTTTTAATCTAATCATTATTGCCTTAGAGACTTGTGCAAGTGTAAGTTCACATTAACACACTGTCATAAGTAACCATCACTATATAAGGTGCACGCTGCACTTTCTCTTTCGCTTTCCACGTAAACGGCAAACTCCTAACGTTTTCATGGAAGGACACCGTTTCATAGGTAAACAGTCCGTTCAGATAATGAAACTGAGTACCTATTGTTGGTGTTATCGCGGCTGCATGTAAACAGTGGCTTTGTGTCATTGTCAGCTGTTCGTTGATGACATGTACGGTCTTGTAAAGGTTACATTTAGCCATTGTAACTTAACACTTTGTCACGCAACCACAACATGTTTCGCCGTATCTAGATAATGAAGTCGGAAATCAATACATGGTAAACGTAAACTTGACACACTTCGTGAAGGACCCTTGCGTAATAGTGAATGCAACCCATACTTGCCGAACCGATAAATATACAGTTGAATGAAACGGCTTTGTCCGTATTATATAAATTTTTAATGGCTTCGTAAGTATTGAATCCGTCAAAACACACAGGCAACTTTTCCGTTTATTTACAGTTACAAGTTTTGAAAATAGCTGTCATGGCCATTATAAGTTATCGCAAGTATTTCGTACTATATAGTTCAGAAACCTTCGGTGTGGTGGAGCGGCTCCATGACGCCTGTTTGATGACAGGTTATGCCATCCTTTTATGATTTTTTGTGTTTTCTGATAATTTCATCGGGGATGTCCGCCGTGATATCGCTGGAATATTGCTAAAAGCGTAAAACCCAGCGCACTCACACTCATCGGGGATGGTAACACGGTGACATTTGGGTGTGGCTCAATGGTGTAGTTTAAATATACCACCGACTGTACGTCATCCAAAACACGAAATATGTTCTGACAAACCAAGGAGTTGATCATGGATTCGAACCCGCTACGGATCCCGACAGGTCAATAGTGTCTGAGACGTTGTGAACATATATGTCAACTGACATGCATTAGCTGCATGATGACCCTGATTTGTTAATTTGTTGTTTAACGCCGCACTCAGCAATATTCCAGCTATATGGCGGCGGTCTGTAAATATAACAGCGTCTGGACGAGACAGTCTAGTGATCAACAGCAGGAGCATCTGGCTACGGAATTGGGATACGGTGATATGTGTCAACCAGGTCAGTGAGCCTGACCACCAAATTGTGTCAGGTACATAGGCAGATCCTGGGGTAGGGTGTGTCACTGTGTGTGTGTGTGTGTGTGTGGGAGGGGTGGGGGCGCAGAGGTGAGCACCCCCCGTTTTGTCCTACAAGTTTAATAATTGACCATTGAAACTCTCGTTAAAATGAAGTGTGCACCCCCTCTTTCTCAACAGTGTGCATTCCCCCACCCACCCCACCCCACCCCCCTCTAAAGTAGAGGAGGGGAATCGACATGCACTTCCTCTTGATCATTCTGGATGTGCGAGATGCCTGACTCTGACTCGAACACATGTCCCGATGTTCCTTCTGCAGTTTAATGACAACGTTGTGTCGACTTGGCTGGTTGACGAGACCAGCAACAGTCTCGAAGGTTTCAACCACCATTTAAACTCTAGCCACTCCTCTCGCCAATGTCTACAGACTCATCGAAGTCACAAAAAGGCTCGAGAGAGTTGCCTGATGCGCACCCAGGAGGACACAGCTAACCCAGGAGGACACAGTTAACCCACGACACAGTTAACCCAGGAGGACACAACTAACCCAGAAGGACACAGTTAACCCAGGACACAGCTAACCAAGGAGGACACAGTTAACCCAGGAGGACACCGTTAGAACCAGGACACAGCTAATCCAGGAGGACACAGCTAACTAAGGAGGACACAGCTCACCCAGCTTGACACAGCTAACCCAGGAGGACACAGTTAACCCAGGACACAGTTAACCCAGGAGGACACAGTTAACCCAGGAACAGCTAACCCAGGAGGACACAGCTAACCCATGACACAGCTAACCGAGGAGGACACAGTTAACCCAGGAGGACACAGTTAACTCAGGAAGACACTGTTAATCCAGGAGGACACAGCTAACCCAGGAGGACACAGCTAACCCAGGAGGACACAGTTAATCCAGGAGGACACTGCTAGCCCAGGAGGAAACAGTTAACCAGGGAGGACACAGTTAACCCAAGAGGACACAGTTAACCCAGGACACAGTTAACCCAGGAGGACGCAGTTAACCCAGGACACAGTTAATCCAGGAGGACACAGTTAACCCAGGAG